CTATGAATCATATAATTTTAGGGATTAGAACAATGAATGTTAGTGTTTATATGATTTAATTGTCTAGCTTATTGGTTTGAGTAACAGATTTTCCTTAACGCTTGTTGTATATAGTATATGATGACTGGTTGAATCAATCTAAGTTGACTGTGTTTTAAGTTTGTATTTCAACTCTTTACCGCTGAAACTGATTTCCCTCTTACTGAATTAGCACAGAAATTTGTGAGAACTGTGTCAGTTTATAAAGCTATACGAACTGGAGAAGTACTGGAAACAAGAGGGGTGACAACTAAACATTTTATCTTTATATGGAATTTCTTAAACATGTTCACCCACAATTGGCCTAAGGAACAAATCTAGTAACTCGAAGTCTTGTTACCGTTTGTCAACACAATGGTAGTTTTTAAGATAGCTGTTTCTATACTTCAGTTTACTGATTACGGCGTCAAAAACTATAAGTCAAACTTCAAGTTTTCCTAAGGAACTGTGATTTGTCTTTTGAGTTGGTTTATTAAGATGGTAGATATTCACAATTGAGTAGCATTTCATTTGTCGACATCTGGTTACGTCTAGATAAAAACTAAATTGATTTCAACTAATACTTCTGTGTATAATCAAAGATAGGTGTTGGCTAGCAGTAGAATCCAGGACTCGCATTTCATTCCGTCTGAGTCTACTTGCATCTTAGAGTCGATGTTCACCCCAAGACTCGAACTCAGTGCCTTTCGCTTCGAAAGTCATCGCATTATCTACTTAGCTACTATTTAGCTTAATTACACTAAACAAAATTGTACACAATCAATTCAAAGGAATATATTTCAACAACTTGCTAAATCGCATTTATTTAAAAAATGGGAATTATATTTTGATAAGACACGTTAGGATTAGTTTACAAACTAATATTATTTGTGTGGCCTATTTAATGGTTTCATAATTTTACCTTAACGTCATATGTCTTATCTAGGATAATATGATAAATTGTCAAAAATGCTAGATACTTAATACAAATTATTGACTTGGAAAATTAATTTTTGGTGAATGCAAGATAAATGGTCAATTATACATTAATTAGGTTTATGAAGATGACTATACGTTTCGAAGATAATTATGAACCAATGTTGTACAATAGATTATTATTAAACACAAAGAGTTCGTTAGCTATTCCTTTTAATTTAGATTTATTGATGTACTACTTATTTATTCTCAAAATTTGTAAGTCCTGTATTCGATCCAGGTTAGAGTTATGATTTTAAGCTAGTGAATAATACCAAATTGTAAAATGATCAGTGGTTATTAAAGGTTTTCAGCTAAGATCAATATGCAAAAAAAAATGAAAATTACCCTCTAACAAGATAACAAGTCGATAAAACATTTATTTATGTCTGAAAATTTAATAACTGAAGTACTTATCTTGGTATTGTTTGTTTGAATCTTTCCATTGATGTTTAAAACTGCAATTTAATTGTCTCTTATAGGCATATGTGCATACGGTGCATATTGCCTCGATATAGCCTTAATTCACAAGTATTATAAGCAAAGATGGATAGTGGTTAGCGGTGGAATCACCAAATTGCATAAGCGAGTGGCTATCACGATTAAGTAGCTGAGTGGATGACGTTTGAAGCGAAAGGTACTGGGTTCGATCTCCAGAGTGAACATCAACTCTGAGATGCAGGTACATCCATCTGGTGAGTCCCAAATAGGACGAAACGAAAGACAAACACGAAATATGAACTGGATTGCGTCAAATATCATATTCTTGAATCCAATCATTAAATAACACTATAACTAAATACTACCAACTTTTCTAAAACTGCCGAACTGATTTTATTTCTATATCTGTTTTTAACTTACAAAAATCTAGTTTTTATTTATCGGAGCGTATAACATAATTTCACCCTGATTTAACATAAATATAGTGTTGAACATCTCTACTAAACTCGACTTCATACTATTTTGTTGTGTATTTATAACAACTACAGGGTACTTCGAAAATAAGTTTAAAATTTAGACTTCATATATTCTCTTATTTACATCTGGAATGTACCTGGTAAGTACAGAAGGTAATCAAATACAAATTCAAATCTTGCAAAAGCCTTTATTTAACACTGCGAACGCTGAATATATATAACATATTATGGCTTTAGATCAGAGGGGGTTTTGTGGAGAATTTAGTATTTTCATAGTTGAAATCATGAGTCAGTTGAAGCTAAACCAACATGGAAAACCTCGAAGAACTGGACGGCCATTTCGTCCTATTGTAGTATCAGTTTATATGTTAAGCCCATATACTTTATCCTAGCTACTGGCCAAGCCAATTCGCCTGTCATGAGTCATATTTTGATCTTGTTTATTATTTGCTTATTAACATTGACTATACTTTTATATGAGCATATATGTGTACACTTCGTATCTTATTTATCGTATGTCTGTCACTCATTTTTGTCCGACTATAAATGTTGATTAACGCTTGCTTAAAATGAGTTGGCTTCCCAGCCATCTCCATTGCGCATGATCTTTGCTCCGTTCCGCTCTCATCTATTCGCCTCATCACTCTGATTCCCTGGCCAGACCAATGAGTGTAGAAATTATAAGTATTCTAAATCCATTCTCGTATTTGACGTATTTAACTACGTTATTCACCAACGCGGATAAAGTCATTTATTACATACGAGGATAGACAGTACGTACGATCAAAAAGGGATCAGATTTAGGCCACTACATTATTATGGGACTCCTCAGAAGTGCGCATCCACGATCCCGAAATCGCAAGATTCAAACTCAGTCTCGCGCCAGAGCCCTTAACCGATAGACCACTGATCCGGCCGGCATCCAGCGGTGTTAATGCCTAACTTTAACCAATCCACGATTTTGAGCGACCGTTCACTGTTCATATTATGGTTTTTCAATTTACGAACTTTATATATTGTAGATAGTAAATGATACATTATTAGAAAACCTAATAATGAAACTTATTCATATTTAATAGTACAGTTAGTTCAGAAAATAAAATGGATACATACATAAATATATAAAAAGAATTAACAAAAGTCTTGATTCCTATCTTATTTCATTTGATGTATTAGAACTGAAATAAGTAACTATTGAATAGATATAAGATGCAAAAAACATTTTGGAGTTGGATACTAATGATAAAGATAAGGAAATCAATTAGAAACAACTAAAAATACATCTACCGACCTACATCTATATGAGTTTTGAGTAATGAATTTAACTGCTTACAATTTAAAAGGGAAATAAACTACCATGAAACTCAATGAACATATAATTCTCATCATGGTGGTCTTTAGAAAATATTTTCCAAGAAATCTATTGATATATATATATATATATATTTCTAGTTCTACTTCGGCAAATAAGCCAATATATGGTAGAAGGCTGAGCATCTAGTATTGGTCTATCATTGTTTCATATTTATGAGAGTAATAAATTACATGTTTTGATGAAAAGTTCAAATATTTTAAATGACTTAAACAGAATTCATTTATGTGTATTCATATAAACAAAATAGTTTTCAAAACCAAAGTAGTCACAGGATAAATCATTGTTGGAATTGTCCTGTTGTTGATATTCAGTACTGAATTTTAATAAGCTTTTGTTATCATATATACATCTTATGAGAAGCGCCTTGACTTTTCCATGATCTCCAGCTAACTAGTTTGAAATGGGATAAAAAATTAATCCTGAACTGCATTGCTAGTAACAATTCATCAACTCTAAATGACAAGATAATGTCCCATAGTTTTGTTTTTCCAGAATCTAAACATATATTGTTTGGTCATTTAAAATATCTACCAGTGAGTAGCTCTCGAAAATTTCCACGACCGTATGAAAGCATTTATCGTGTGTTCACTGCTGATTAGTTTCACGAGCAGCTGTTACTAGCGGAGTTCAAAGGTGTCGGCTGTGAGGATAATACACACCAAAGAAAATGAAAGTGTATTGATTTAAGTTAGACTAAAACACCATTGGATGCCGGCTCAATGATCTAAAGTTTGAACGTTCGTGAACAAGACCGAAGGCCCCTGGTTTAATTTCCGGTTGCGGGGTCACTGACGTGCAACGGTGTAGACACATATTCTAGGAAGAAACGGCTGTCCAGTGCTTACAAGTTTACAATGGTTGTCTGATTAGGATTGACAGATGATTTCAGCGAGATCGTTCTTTATATGACTGTCGGCCTGTTTAAGCATCTGGGCTACCTGTTCCTGTCATCTAGATATTTCAACAAGTTATCTAATTTTGTTTGTTTTAATACATCATTATACCTATTAATCACACAACCTATTCAAGTGCGTTTCTGAAAAGTGTAAGACCTTTCGCTGTAAGGGTTACAGAAAGCCTAATCAGACATATCGTGGTTGCTGGCAATATGCAGCGAGAAGAATGTACATTATCCAAATCTCGATTGACTGGGCTGATAACTTCTAACTGGCAATCACTCAATATTTATCGTCAGGAAGGACGAAGAAGTAAGAAACGGAAACTTGTTGAAGTACTTTGTGCTGAGAATTCTATTTTGTACCAAAAATATAATATTGAATAAAGCTAATAATAATAATAATAATAAATTTTTTAAATCAGTATTGAACTTAAATATGCAATATAAAATAGCTTGTTCTGATCACATATGTATACCGCATCAGTGTACTTTGGTATTGTAAAATTTGCTAGTTAATAATAAATTTTAAAGTCTTTTCAATCTTGTTAGCTTCTTAGTTTAATATTAAACACTCCTAATATATAAAGAATGGTTTTATCAAACTCAGGTAACGATAAATCAAGTTATAACAACGTTCATTACTTTTTACAATGATTTCTCTAAATGTTTAAACAATATATTATCTATTCTTAGACTTTATAAACTTGAAACTTGATTCCTACTACTCAATCTAATATGTATATTTTTACATGTGAGAATCCTAAATTCATATTGTTTAAACGGTGTATTTATGTTATACTATTTTTACAATTAACAGGTTACCGTTGAATGTATTGATGATGAAGGTCAATATGCGTTATCACGAAACGCCAGTCTACATATCACTATTACAGATATTAATGAACATAAGCCAATATTTACAAAAAGTATATTCACAGGTCAAGTAATAGAAAATCAACTACATGCAGAAGTACACATGTTGACACCTATTCATGCAACAGATCTTGATGTAGGCGTTAATGCATTAATCACCTACAGTTTAGTTAATCCATATGAGTTATCATCCATGCAAACAGTAACAAGTATATCATCACTAGTGACGGCTTCAACACCATCGTCGTCATCATCATCATCATCTTTAGTTAATTTCGTAAATGGTACTGCATTCTTTAGAATAGATCCAATCACAGGGAAATTATGGACTATTCAATCACTGGATTGTGAAAATCGCAGTGAATATCATTTGGTTGTGATTGCAAGAGATTCTGGATCACCTGTACCACTTTCTTCAAGTGCAAATATTGTCATTACAGTGGAAGATACAAATGATAATGTGCCGGAATTTCTGAATACACACTATCTATTTGAGGTAAGTTCAAGATGGAGTTAGTATTTATTAGCAATTTACCTCAACTACATAACTACATAAAAACTTCATAAGGTAACGATTTTCATTAGTTTAGTACTAATTAAATAAATTTATTTAATCAGAAAACATTTTCACTGGCTTCATCAATTCCTACAACTTTTATATTACTTGCTTTCATATTACTAGCTACCTTTATGATACTACCAACCATCTTACACTTCTAAGATCTATGTAACCGATTGAATTAGATTACAATACTGCAACTTAAATTATTTCAAACCAAGTTCAATAAATATGTGTTTAAATTTACGTCGAAATCTCTTACTTTGATCATTTAATGCGACTTACTAAAACTACTATAGGTTTCCAAAATATTAAAGTTTAAAGTGAGTAGTATTACATGCATTGATTTGAAATGATAAGAAATACGTTCCAGTTTAAATGGATACTTTCAGTAATGTTATGCATTTTAAAGTATAACTGAGTAACTGAATAAAGAAAGATCTCGTATCAAACATAATCCGTACAGTTTTATGAGTTGTTGAAGGAATTTCAAATTACTAGGGGGTAAAATGATCTTTATTGAAGTGAATAATACGAACATTTACACTCAAATGCTTGCATATTGCTGCATCAGACATCCATACAAACATAAAAGTATCACTGATTGAATTTAAGTCAGACGATGATGTATAGAGGTTTTCTAGAACGTTCATCATTTTGTACAAGAATAAAGGTAACTCTTGCCTGTAGAATCAATATTTCTCTGTAAATAGACTATTTTATGTGGATTAATTGCTTATGAAAAATAAAACCATGACATAGTCATAATACGTATGAAAAATACTGGTTTCCACTAACATTTATTGTATCACGCTTCATATCTCGTTAACACTATTTTAGGTAGCTGAAAATGCACCAGGTGGTACAGAAATCGGTGTTGTCGAAGCTATAGACAAAGATGTAACAATAATAAACCAACGCGTGCGTTACAATTTACGTGGTAATAATGAAGATTTGAAATTGATTACAATTGATCGAAATAGTGGTACATTAAGAACTCGACGTCCGATTGACAGAGAATCCAGATCTTCTATATCACTTATAGTAGAAGCAGAAAATGAAGTACCAATTCATCGTTCACCATCTGCAAGAAACGATAACTTTAACACGATCATGAACCATATTGGTACAGAAGCAAGCGTAGTAATCACAATTTTAAATTTAAATGACAATCGACCTGAATTCATGTTAATTGAACCACATCGTTCACATGTGACATTTACTTGGGAACAGTTAAACCCATTAATTTTACCGAAACAAAATCAACTAAATGCCACTACAGTACATTTGAAATCTGACAATCAATTTGGAAAAAAAGAGAAACCAGTCAAAGAAGAAAATCAAGAATTATCCTCTTTAGAAAACGCTAATCCTGTATGTGAACCTTTGCCTCATCGTGTGATTGATAGAGATATGGAATCGGATTCTATGCTGGACTGTTGTATTCTTGAATTATTAGATAATTACAATGGATTATTTGCATTGATCCCACAAGCTCCAAGCGTGTTATGTGCTATGTATAGACCTCCAACTCCACAAACCTACAAACTAACGCTTATAGCAAAAGATGGTTTGACGAATGACAGTCTATCATCTCAAGTAAGTAAAACTTATTATGTGAAACTTTTCATGTTTTATTTCATTGTCATTAAGACTGGTAGTTTATTGTTTAATTGTGCAGTTTTCATTTATTATGTTTCAGACCCAAACTGCTCTAAACCTGTTTCGGTTTAGGTAGCTGCATATTATCACTAGCCCCCATGCAAGCAAAAAAAGTTGAGTACATAAACCCATACATCATAAACGATTTATACGAATTGATTATGGTTCATTAGTTGCCTCGTACTGGATCGACTCTAAATTCAAAAATATTCTAAGAACACTGTAAAATAGTTGATTGTTGAATTGTCTATGCTGTACTTCCTAATAACTAGCAGTGCTTATTAGTTTTTTATTCTGTGTCTTATCGTTAATTTGATAATTTTTAAATCTTTGGAGATAATGTTACGATTGAATCAAATGAGAAACTTTGATTGTGACGAAATTTAAATTAAAGACGACCAGATCACTATTATGATACTCTATAAACCAAATTTAGAGACCAGGATGTCAATATAAACAATTTTGTAAGTCATTTCAACGATACTTACTTACTTACTTACGCCTGTTACCCCTCGTCGAGGAGCATAGGCAGCTCACCAGCATTCTCCATCCAACTCTGTCCTGAGCCTTCCTTTCCAGTTCTTTCCAGTTGCTATTCATCCTTTTCATATCTGCTTCTATTTCCCGGCGTAGTGTGTTCTTTAGCCTTCCTCTTTTCCGCTTCCCTTCCGGATTCCGAATTAGGGATTGAGTCGTGATGCACATTGGTGATTTTCTTAATGTATGTCCGATCCACTTCCAACGTCTTTTCCTAATTTCCTCTTCAGCTGGAAGCTGGTTTGTCCTCCCCCGTAATTTCAATGATACAGTTTAATAATAAAATATAACCGTCTATGCAGAAGTGGGACATCGAAATAATGAATTCATAACTGCTGCAAGTATGGTGTAACTTAATGTCTGTAAAAATTATTTTTTCAATCTGTTTCTAACCGAATTCATTACATTATTGGATTTGTAGTGTCGTTAGAAATTTGGACTTAAGAATGTCAACTCAGCAATCTTTCTATCAAGATACTAGTTTTCGATACCTTGCAAAATCTCCTAAATTAGCACTGCAGAAAAGCTTAAAATCAGGACAAAATAAACTAACTTAATTTTACCTGACTTTTCTGTGGTCTTTCATTTGATCTCACTGTAAAAAAACAAACGTTTCCAGCTTAGATAAATTCATCAAACATAGTCTCTATTGAACACCGTAACACAACTAAAAATATCAGATGAGTGTTTTCGTCTATTATGCCCGATACCGGTGTAAGATATGAGCATGAAAATAGAGCCATGGAAAAATCACACAAACAACTCTCATTCTGAAGGATATTCAGTGAGTATTGAACGAACGCTTAGGGGGGGAAGACCAATTTTGTGTTTAATGCAAATTTGCATTGTCTTTGTAAAATAGGAAAAAAATACATAAAGTACTTCATTTTAATATCTTCCATCAATTGTCTCTTACAAACTTCATCGTTCCTTCATTCCTGTTATTATTACAAATAATCTCTGTTTACATCCCTGCTCTCTTCAACTTTATCCTCTCAAATATCTACTTTCAGTCATTCCACTTCTGATTAATATTACATACTACTTATATCTGTTAACATAAGTAGCATACACTGCAATTGAAATTAGCATAAAGCAGAAATGTCTTAGAAACTGGCGCTTTTGATGATTCATGTTAGTCTTTTTTTTCAATGTATTTTAATAAATGAAAAGTATGAGATCACATAGAACAACTATTTTCACTCCAAATTATTATTTTGTAATCAATTCCAACTTAGTCCCACTACTTAAATAAATAGATAAGTAATAGGGACTGTATTATTCAATAAAAAGTTGATGGAATTTATTACTAAAAATATGCTTATAGGATTACAGGAAAATAACAATGAATTATTTTCTATCTCTCCATTAAATTTGTGTACTCTTATGCTTCAATGACTATTTGGTAATAATACAATAATCACATTATTTGAATCCATAAAAACCTTTAAAATCCGTTTTCAATACGAACTGATATCCCAATTAAAGAATCTTTAAACACCACTAATTTTAAACTGAATATGAAGACACTGATTATTTTATTATAGGAAAATAAAACGTATTACTAATTAGTAACAATGATCATAATAAAACGAATAATAATTGTCAGCAGAAATAGCCTACAATTTCTAAAATAGATTAGTTGATTAAGAGATATGTACTTTTTACCGATTAACATTCAATTAAATATAAGAAAAGCATCTTTCCACTTGCTCTTAAGAAAAAAATTAAAGAGAAAGATGTATAAGGAAGTCAAAAAAAGAAAGATAGCAATAACAACCACGAAATACATAAACGAGAAATAAGTAAAATCGATAAAGAAGGACTATTTGTATATATATATATATATATATATATATATATATATATATATATATATAATGAAAAATAATAATAATAGTAATAACGATAATACTAATGTTGACAAAAGAAATAATTTAGGCTCAACGAAACAAATACCATGGTAACAGTGATTTTGTGCCTGAAACGACAAATAAATTAGTTTATCAATTGAATATAAATTAATACACGTGTTCTAGTTTTGTGTTAAAGAAATGTTACTTTTATGAATCGTTTTAAATTATGGAGAACTGACAATTCAAACCAATGATGAGTGTTCAAGACAATAAATAATGTCAGCATATATAAATCCTGGAAATTGTTCATTCGCATACTGACTTAAAATAAAAAATACCACGGACTGTCGAACATTATTTCATCTTAGTTTAGTATCCATACTGAACCAAAATCAGTCAGATACTAGGTTGTAAGCAATAATTTCATTATTCTATTTAGATATCGCTACTTAAGAGTGAATGGCTCTATCCTTACATGAAATCCAATGTTGTATTCATTTCAAGTTGAGCTATAAATTCGGAACTCCATAGTTTAGCTTTTGGTTGTTGATCTATTCTCAACATTCTGTAGTCAGAATTAATAGCAATTGATGATATACATCTCACTGCAAACATTTGATCAAAGAACTTTTCAAAACATTTCTATTTTTCTATACAGTTGTTCCATTTATATCTTATGACATCCTTTAATAAACATTCTCTCAGTTATAACATTCCTAATAAAACTAGTCTATAATAAATTATGATGATACAAAAAATGTGACATTTAATTTATTGATCAGAAGGGGTTTTGTGGAGAATTTAGTATTTTCATAGTTGAAATCATGAGTCAATTGAAGTTAGACCACCATCAAAAACCTGAAAGCACTGGACGGCCGTTTCATCCTATTGTGGGACTCCTCAGCAGTGCGCATTCACGATCCCGCGCTCGCGAGATCCGAACCCAGGAGCTACTAGTCTCACGCCAGAGCCCCTAACCGATAGACCACTGAGCCGGCCGGTAACCAACGGTGTTAATGTCTAACTTCAACCAATTCACGATTTTGAGAAACCGTTCATTATTTTCTATCGCAATAATCATTATTGTAGTATTAAAATAGAACCCTAGTATACCTACTTACTTACTTATGCCTGTCACCCCTCGTTGAGGAGTATAGGTCATCCACCAGTATTCTCCATTCAACCCTGTCCTTAGCACTTAGTATACAGTTAGATTAAAATTTACTTTAATTTATAAACCATTAATAGGAAGATTAAAATGTTTATTTTGTACTTTTTTAGAATAATTCAAATACTGTTATAAGTACATCATTGTTTAATCTGTCATAAGTGATAAATATGACAGTTAAAATGAAAGTATCAGTTTACATCAACAGAAATAATCGTGGTAATAAGATGATAATAATAATAATAGTAAACTAATTATAGATGATCAACTCATTATAATTTAATTATGATTAAATATCATAATATCATGGCTAAAAAAAACAGAATAATTCCCTGATGTATTTTTCATTATAATGATCACTATCATTACTACTGATAAATATTCTAGTAGATTCATTCATACTTATTAATTTAGGTTAAAATGCATATAAAGATAAACAAGTAAGAAAAAAATGTCAATTTAACAAGACAAGAATAGTTCCTAACTGATTAATTATTTATTATTATTATGGTTTCCCATATGTTGTTTTCGTTTTGTCTCAATCGGTTTTTTTCAATTTTGAAATGATGTTAAATTATTTTTGACAGATTTTCAATTATATACATATATATACCCCTTAGAGATGTTAGTAGGCTTTATGAACAATATAGGCTTAAACATGCTTTCTGATTATGTATTCAGTCAGATTAGAAAGTCATCTTCTGAAACAAGTATGGTCAGTGTGTATCTTTAGATGATGTTAATGGAAAAAAAGGTCAAATAAAATATATAGGGATCAATAAGAATGAATTCTTAAAGAGCAAACACTGAAATACTGATTTAATGATACAATAAATAATGGCACTAATATAATTAACTAACCAATCATAATTTAAAGCAATTAGTCCCTTTGATAAATTTCGATAGTGTAATAAGAAGACGAAGATTATCAGAAATATGTGATATATATTGGCGCAATACATTTCGAACAATCTGATCACACATATACTTGTTAACAACATTTATATATAAAAATAAAAGGTCAACTAGACTGGAAATGGGGTAGGGGATAAGAATAGACAATGGTAATAATAATAATAATAATGTGAAAAACAATTTGAAACCTAATCACTCTGGATAATAAGCTAATATTACCAGGGTAGGCTTAAGGTAAGAACAAAGTGTTTTTGAATGCAAAAAGGGGGTTTAAATTTTCGTATGGCTAAGGCTTCAATAAACCTTAGTATACGCCCTTTTACACTTTTATACAACACTATAAAAGCCGAGTTAAGATCAATCTTATGGCCTATTTCGATTAATTATTTGACAATAGATGATGATGAATGGATCATAACTGAGCTCTAAAAAGGTACAAATTAATAAAAGCGATCAAATGTAAATATATTAACAGTAGGGGTTTTGTGGAGTTTTTAGTAATTTTATAGAGTTGAGATCGTGAGTCAATTGAAGCTCTGGCTCTGGCTCGAAACTGGTAGGTCCTGGGTTTGAATCTCGCGAGTACGGGATCGTGGATGCGCATTTCTGAGAGGTCCCATAATAGGACGAAACGGCCGTCCAGTGCTTCCAGGTTTTCGATGGTGGTCTTGCTTCAATTGACTCACGATCTCAACTCTGTAAATATATTAAATTAAATTCCGATTAATTAACTGTAATAAGATGTGAATTTATACGAAATAAATCAATGTATATTTGCTTTAAATCATTTGATTAGAGTTCGTAACGTTACAGAATATATATAAAGACAGCTAACTACATTCCAGGTTTTAATTTTATGCCCCATATGAATGGAACTCAAATACTTGAAAAGCTACAAAATCGTATATTTTTCTAAAGTGAATGGTCACACATTCAAAAACGAGAAATTACTTAACGATAAGAAAGCTTGAATTTATATGGAATATCGAACAGGCAAGTGTAGAGCTCTCTTTCATTTAAAATATAAATATATTACAATGCAACCAATGGTATATAACTGTGTTTCAGATAAACTTAAGGTATATCCTGAAGAGGTAATTAATGAAAAATGTGATCGTGCAACTTTAAAAAAATCCATACACGAAATCGTAGCTACGTTATCTGACAGTTTGTTACATATTATGTCAGCTCGTCATCCACCTGTGGATTTAACGAAACAGTCAATGAAAATCAGCTCTCTTTATCAAATCCAAAATTATTTGGTGCACTAACTCTACCATCTGAATACAAGACGACCGTGAATGGAATTTCCTTCTACATCACAGCATACCATATGAAAAACGAGTCTTAAAATATTTTAAAACTCAGGATTTGGAATAGTTCATGGTGTTATCAATGGTAGTAGTGGTGGAACAGTCAATACCTCGTTACATTTGTTAACTCAGATACACCCAATTTCTGGTAATATATCCACTGGTTTGCATTCTTATGAACAATAAAAGTATGAATTCGCATGTGTGCGCGTTTAATGAATTGAATGAACTGCGCTTGAATTCAAATCTAATAATCTATTGACTAATTATGAACATTCAGCCCCTATAACATTTTTACAAGCACATTTAAATAAATTAGAATAAGGTTGTCTTTTTCATGTGAGAAAACGTATGTGTAAAAGACTACAGAATTCACTGAACCTTCAAGAATGCTATAAGACAGTCGATAACTTCTCAAATCCGTTAATTAAAAATATTTGATTTTATGCTGTCTACAGATGTTAAAACGGCGTTTACAAGTTTAATGGAGTTATCATGCTAAGTTGAAAACGAAGGAATCAAAGTATTAACAAGTTATGTTTAAGACACCTGGTTATGAATAAGTACATATTGCAAAGATTGATCATCGACATCCGAAGTCCCGTTATCGTAATAACCAGTGGTGGAAATACTTAAGTCAACCGAAAATATTTGGTTCAATCTGAAAGGTTTTATATATCACTGCATTGATATTTTCAACTGAGATTTGATCACCATTAGTTGTCATTTATTCATCTTGCGTGGAATGATTCAACATAAAGTTGAACAAATGTATCCAGTACTGTAATTTAAGATGCGCATTTCGTGCAACTTAGAACTCGTCAACTGGATAATCCTGCATCCAGTAGTTGATATCCACCTCAGGGCTCTAACGACGTACCATTCGCTTCGAATGCCATTACATTATCCAAATAGTGACTGAGTCTAATGTTTGGATAAAATGGCACTTATTTACAGTCCCAGAGTAAACGTCCAAACTGTGATGAAGGTACATCCGACCGGCGAGTCCTACATTTCATCCATATCAAAAACATTCGATTATTGTTTTTTCATTTTTTTCATTTAACTTTTAAATAAAGCAAATTAATTTGAATTACAATAACAGAATAATTCTTCCTAATTCAAAAGTAAAATATTCCATAATTCTCTATGTATTTACATTTAGCGAGTTTATGTAGAGTTTATGTAGACCACAAAATTACCAGTTTTAATATGAACTCAATTTAAACACACCTCCAGGATTTCGATGGTGCTCTAGCTTCAATTGACTAATGATCTCAACTATATAAAATTACTAAAATCTCCACAAATCCACCTTCAAGTATTGAAAACTATTCAATACTCTGGATCACTTGTTAAACAAATTTATAACTAATTTCCCTTAACTACATTATACAGTTATATATCAATTTATTTAGTTTAGTCTATGGATAATAATATTAATAATTAGCTAGAATAATTTTACAATTTATTATTTAGACTACTAATAACATTTGTATAGTTTTGTGCGTACTGTTGACTTTGTGAGTACATACTTTCTGTTTAACAGATGAAAACTGCTTTCTTCACTATAACTGCATTCTATAAAACATACCTAAAGAGTATTTTCGAAGTGAATATCAGAAATAAACAAAAATGCAACAGTATGACAGAGCATGATTTACGAAGGTCATGAACGGTGAACGTTTGATTTTCTCATTTTTAATAGGATAAATATTTATTTCTTGAATAAATATATCTGGCTGACGACCAAGTTTTGCATAATGGATATTTAAATAACTTAAACTCCTTTGTATAGGTCAAATACATTGTATTTCCACATTGAAGACATTTTTCATTTAAACTTTAACTTTATCCAAGACTTCAGAATGTCCTTATTCATAATAAGGCATCCAACATGTTTCCCACTTACCTAGATACGTGACTATTAGAAATTAGTATATCTTGTAAACAGTTTCTATATAAATCTTCTACGTGTAAATGCTCAACATTACTGTTATATCCCCTGGTGAATTATGAATGGCTGGGCTAGGCAGAAAGGAAGGGCCGAATAGCACTCTAGACTGCTCGTACGATTTCAAGTATCATTTGCGTCCGCTCAATAAAAATCCACTACCTCTCTAAGTGCACGTCCATATATATTACGAGCCCATGCGATATAACAATTACATTCATCAGGTTTAATCATATCCGAGTCTTTATTAGTTTATTGACTACTCTAAATGATTAATCGGTGATTAGTAAATGCTCAAATTCAGTTAAAATTAATTCCAGTTCACAAAAGTGACTTTTATTACTGACGATTGATTTTAGAGTAGCAAACTTTGTTTTAATTACCCTTTTTATTTTTACAATCTTTAAATTTTTAGGTTCATTTCACAGTGATCATTCGTAGTGATCCAAATCTTAGGATATCAGAAAGAAAGAATAATAATCATCGTTCGGATCAGTTAGGCATAGATTATTTAACAGAAAAACAGTCAAATTTTGATCAGAACAAATTACACAATGATTTGACAAACAATAATTTCAATTATGGTGAACGTGATAGATTAAATAAAGATTATCTACACAGATCGTTAAATCTTGATGGCAGTGCTAATTCTGGATTATTATATCCTTCAGGACTATCATCATCAGTGTCTACATCACAACAATACAAATTAAATCATTCTAAATCGTATGGATCTGGGCAACAAACAATAATAATTATTGTGATGGCTTCGATTGCTGGAGTGTTATGTGTTTTGTTATTAGTAGCTATTGTTTTAACAAAACGTTGTACATTTGATACTGTATCAACATCAATGACAAACGCAAAAGGTACGTTTAAATATTACTAAATATATAATAAAATTAATAGAAAACAATGATATTTAAAAAACCAGCCTCATAAATTTGAAGGATATTCTATCCTACTAATAAATAACAAATGTTCTTCTAAGTGTACTTAAGATTAGGTTTACTCCTAATTAGACTAGATCACTTTGATAAATAAAATTATTACAATCATTGTGTACCATAAGCATAACCAAATATGAATTCATATTATAAATAAATCCTAATATTTAATAGTTCAAATTAAAATCTAAGTTTTATCTTATCATAAACTAGTTATGTTTTATAGTTGAATTCATGAATCAATTGGAGCTAGATCACCATGGAAAACATGGAAGCACTGGATGACCGTTTCGTCCCATTGTGGGACTCCTCATCAGTGCGCATCCACGATCCCGCTTCGCGAGTTATGTTTTCTCATAAACCATAGAATGAACTTATTCTCGACTTTAATCCAAATAAAAAAAACACTATGAATATGAAAACCTATCCAGTATATAGTACTAATGTTATATGATTCGAAGACATTTCTTTTCTTATTAATTTTTACAATTTTTAAATGTAATGAATTTGTAAAGATAATATTAATCAAATACATTTTGACTGGATCACTATAGTAGAGTAAATGTTTATAGATATAACTTATGTCATATATCAAATTATATCATAAAAACTATTTATGTATATAATGAAATAGACAATATGTTTCTCAATTTATCTTTGTTAATAATATATCTATATGCTAATCTTCTCTGTATCGTCCCAATTGTAGTATATACACCGTTGAAGCAAGTACCTAGTAAATCATTAGAAATGTCTAATTACCAGATTTGAATTTAGAATCTTTTTTTATTCAATTTAAGACATCCATTAACTTAGAAATTGTTTATATCACTATATTGTATGTCATGACTGTAAATACGTAGCAACAAATCATAAATTGAATATTTATGTATCATAAATTATTGACAATATTTTTTTTATTACGTAATGTTGATTTCGGTAATATCAAGAAAAGCGATTCACATATATATATATATATCGATTATTAGAAGTAAAAAGACATTCATAGTCCACTAAACCTTTCTTTTATCAACGATTTACACTGTTCATATGCTTCAAATATATGTTAAGTTATTCTTGGAACGGTATTTGCTACTATTTATCGTTTGATTAAATCAGTCAGTCAGCTACAACGTAAGACCAGGCACATATATGCATCGGTTCAAGTTGCCATACCTCGTTAGCACAACAAGATGAACACCGGATTCATAGAAGTAGTTAATTTAATGGTGGTAATATATAAAAGAAAGATTGCATATAAGGATATAGTATAGGAAAGAAGATAGATATGAAGCAATTTTAATCTCAATGTTTAAGGGAAGATAGAGAGTGTATACATCTACGCCATTGTGATCGATTCTGAGCCTTGTTACCTAGAGTTTCCAACCATTGGTTACGATAGTCGTTTGATTAAACATCATTACTATTACTACTACTACTACTACTACTACTACTACTACTAATAATAATAATAATAATAATAATAATAATAATAATAATAATAATAATAATGTGATTATATCCTGAAAATTAATTTCAGAATGCATTCTAAATTACAAGTATAATAAGGTTGGTATAGAAAGCAAAGTATTATGTAAAGGACAGAAATATATGATTAAATAATTTTAAATTATGCGGCCTATAAATTGTTTTCGATGGACATTTATCACAATCATTACTGTTATAATGAAATGGTGATTGGGAACCATCAATTCCTAGTACTGAGACTAGGACAGCCTGTTAATATGTGAATAGGATTACTTCCGGTGCCGTTACAGTGTAATTGTAGTCATCTATAATTACTTTAGATTATCAAACAAGCAATTACTTCACTAATAAATAACTAATGAAACAGTTAAGAGTGTAATCAGAAAAATTATAATCAATTTTCTCTATCTAATTTATCCATGACAATTTTTTTCTAACTTGCTCTAAGATATTATATGGCCAACCAATCCTTGAAATGACATAAAAAACCATGCCAAGTTTCAAATTTATCGATCAAACAAGCATAAAGTTTATTTGAGAACAGTTCTTTCAGATAACGCTAATTTAGTTTGCAAGAATTTGGCACAGAAAGTATGCACTCATTTAAGCATAATCGTGACAATTTGTTGAGATCTACTGAACTTTAATGGTCAGTTCTGTTCACATTCTCATTAAGTTATCTATTTTGTCAGTACTTACATTTTCACTGAACTAGTTACTGTATTACTCTTCGTAACTTTGGATTCTAGATAGCTGTGGCTTTACTTAAGAATTTACATCTGTCTAGTATAAACAAGGTAACATATATCTTGCATTTACCCTGAAAACGTATGATAGATGTTCTGTAGAAATAGATTGTAGTGTTACAGTAATGAACAAAGGTAGTCAGAGGTCCTTTCAATTTTGACAAAACATTGGGCTTCTACTGTGAATTCAAGATGTAAGTTTAGTCACTTCGCAAGTCAGATGTCTCGTAGCTAAATATTTTGTTCTCTGTATTTGCTACATGTCAGATCTTAAAGATAGTAAATTCAATAGCTTACTCAGTGAAGATGTGTAATAAACATTAAAAATGGTTCCACAGCCTTAGGTTAATATAATTAGAAGCAATAACAAAGTTATGTTGTGATATGTGCTACTTATATCAACAGATATAAGTAGTTTGTAACATCATTCGAAAGTGAAGTGCTTAGCAACAGAAGGTCGAGAAGATCGAATAGAAGAGAATGGGACCAGAGAGTGGCTTTTGTGGAAATGATGGGACAACAAAGTCTGAGATAATTGATGGATGTTTTGCAAATGAAGCGTCAAACGTATGGCATTCATATTTTACCAAGACATTTGGTTATCGTTTAAAGATCCCCATCATATTAAAAGACTAATATTTGAACGAAGAATATTCTTTTCGATAAATTCTCTTCAGGTTGTTCAATTATATATCCAACATTTGGTTATCCTTACTTGTGTTCACCTTCACTATATACCCCTCTGAAACACTGTTTAAAGAGAATTCAGGGAGAAATAAGTATCTTAAATGTCAGTCAAATTATCAGCTATTACGAGAATTGGAAATTGTAATTAATTAGCCTTTTATTTTACAGTGCTGACTTTGACACTTCTTGCATAGATGAATATTACATTAATTTAACTGTTTTGCAGTTTTTTATTAGATAATAAAACTTTTTCTGTTCCTAATTTACCTATTCACCTATTATTATTGTCAAACATTATTTCATATCAGTCTTGTTAGTTAATAACGGTAAAGTGCCAACTAGGTTTTCTAGTTTATGTTGACGTGTCAAACATTTTTATACCAGTTTCATTTAATTTTTCAAAACACAACTGTAACTATGTTGTCAATCGATAAAATATTTGAGATACGAAGCTGCATTGAAAACTCTCCCCGATTTACAGTCATCAGTAGTATATTTAGTAATAATAGTTTCAGTAGAACTTGGAATGGAATAATTTTGGGAGTATCAATAATCCATGAAGAGATTTCTCAAAGTATACCAAAATATATTATAATTTGAGGAAAAATGGGTGGTGACTAGCAGTGGAATCCAAGACGACTGTTTCTTCTTGTTTCAGGCTCATTAGCTGGATGTGCCTGCATTCCACCATTGGCATTCACTCCGGGACAACATCAACATCAAATTTCAACACGTTATGCACTTAACTACTAAATTCAGATGCACCTCACAAGTGAATTACAGAATATTTTGTTTGTTGTTTCACAAAGAAATTCAGAAGCTAATTGTTTAACTCAAACAATTTATGTCATGGCATTTTCTATTGGAAAAATGAAGAATAAACTACGTAAATAATTGGACTTCTTTTCAGCTTTTAATAGATAACACTTTATATCGTTTCGACTTTTAATTAAATAGACAATTTCTACTTATCATCTTTCATGTTTCCAACGTATAATATGTACTAATATGATCATTAATGTAATGCATTGATTAGTCTACTCGTTAATACATGCATTATGTTCTAAATCAAATGCAGAAAAAAGAATAAGTTATACATTATCCTTAAAACAAAAAATTGAAGCTTTACACGTTTCTAACATTACAGATTTTAATAAAGAAGAACCAAATAATCAAAATGAGTCAGCTGTTGGGATGAAATGCCCCAGTTCAACTAGTTCATCACCATCCAAAACAAAGGTAAGTATAACAATACTTAATTAACTTTCATAGCATAATTATAGTGATGTGTTTCTGAAATCTTTCTTGAATGGATAAGATCATAAATTTCAATGTACAAATTAATCTTATTTCAGTTTGTAATGAACTAATTGTTTTATGGCTTCTCTTTTACATGCTTACGTATATCACTTTTATCATCTCTGTTTTCATTATTTTTATTATATCAACAATTTACGGTATTGCACGATATTGCGAAACCGTCTTCCATCGCCTTCGGTGGGTAACTGCTTTACACTCAGCATTGATTAGCTTCACTGGTAACAGCTTTCCATACTAGATCGAAACGGCCATCCAGTGCTATCAAACTTTTAATAGTGGTCTAAAATTTATCGCTTCAATCAAAATTCAACAATCTCTACAACTTTATACTGATATTTTACGGTATTATTTGATAGCCAGCACTGCTTACCACTGTCCATTTAATTTTTTTACAAGTAGTTCCCAAGAATATATAGGCGATAAAAGCCAACCTTACATTTAACAGTGTACATTAACCACCAATTGCAATACTATTTACATACTGAGTAAATACTTATGTCAAGATGGGTTTTCAGATGTTTTTAACTGGAATTTATGATACCAAGTTATGAGTTGGACGGTAACTTACAGGTGACATCGGACAAAGGTTGGCTACTTTCTCCAATTTATTAATGCTTTCATCATGAACTGATATCACTTTGCAGATGAATATAAACTAAGTGACAGTGGTTAGTTATTTTATTCAATCATAAAGCTCCTGATTAGATTACATCCTCGACTTTATAATGGATTCTAATGAAGACTTAAATATGAACAGCTAAATGTAACACACCAACCTCCGGATTAGACAGTCATAAATTTGACAGAAAACGGATTGTGGGTGCGTAATGTGGTGAAATCTCTTACCTCCTAGGTGTCTGTAATTTTCCATTCTACATCTGTATACTATGACAATTATGGAACTAGTTATGTACAGAGCTAAGAAAAAGAAAGAACTATATTCTAACACATCTGTCATACAGAAGAATAAAGAAAATATCTAATACCTATCATTTTTAAGAATAGCTAATAATATTATAATTACCAAAGACTTTAGTACCTATTGACTTGTTAATGGATTACAAGACCCGAATTTAATGATCCTTTACGTTAAAGTTTTAGAAAGATCCAACATAACGAACCTTAAAGCATTTTTAACAGTTTGAAGTTCAGCGCATTCAGCAATCAATAGACATATCAATATTAACCTAGTTTATGAAATAATGAAAGATTTCTTTGCTCTCTTAGCCTATTTAGAAATTTTAAAAAAATATATCTAATATCATAGCTCATAGATTATATTTATGTTTTTAATGATTTTCCTTCGATATTTTTCCCCTCTATCAACAAACGCTTCGTATTCAAGGTTAATAATGATTTCCTTTATTAAGAAACGATCTATAAGCAAATTTGATATGTAATTTCATTATATAATTGCTTTATTTTTCTTCATAACCCTCATTTTTTATTGATACTGTTTATTGTAGACTTTTCATTCATTCCCCGTAAATATTCATCATATTCATTCAAATCCTGATTATTATGCAAAAGAAATGATCTATCATCATCCAGTTGGACTTGCATCAAGTGAAACACCTTATGATATTTCACTTGAAACTATGAAATCACCTAATACTGTAACATTTTTAAACAACTACACGCCATTTGTTCCTTTAAATTTAAGATCAAACAATACTCAACTACGAGCTATATCAATGAATTCTCCACAAACTAGACCGATACAATGTCAAATTCCAATTGAAAATGATTTATATCAAGAACAAAAATCTCCTACAATTAAATCCACTACATGTCATAATCCTTGGTCCCAATCATATTCACCAACAAAAAATCAAACTTATATGCAAGTAAATTTAACGAATAAAGAAATTTCACCAATCAAAAATTCTTTTCAATATACAAAATCTAATGAAAACTTTTCACAAAGTATTTATCAAACTATTGATACACAACTTTTAAAACATTCTCAATTCAGCACAACACCAACTAATTCTATAACTAATGCTAATATAATTGGTTTAACTACACCTAAAATGAAACGTGATCATTCAAATAAATTACATGATTTAAATAATAATAATAATAATAGTAATAATAGTAATAGTAATAATAATAATAGTAATAACATTAATGGCGGGAAAGTACATTTCAATAAAACAAAATTAAAATTATTACCAAAAGAACATTTTCAACAAATTAATGATAATTTACAATTTACAAAAAATGATAATAATAGTAATAATAATAATTTAGAAATTAATGAATTAATGAAACCATTATTACAAAGAGTTAATTCTGAACGATCACCATCTTATTTTCAAACTAGTTTTGTGTAAATAATCAATAATCGATTATCAGTACTATTATTATTATTAGTAGTAGTAGTACTATTATTATTATTACTACTATTATTATTATTGTTTATCATTGTGGATACATACAAATGTACTTACTTATTCATCTTTTTCAAGGTTATTTATATTCAATTTGTTTATGTTTACTTTATGATCATTCAATTTTCAAGAAGATAAAGACAAACTATAATCTTTATATATATATATATATACTACTCATGATTAATATTATGCAGTTCCTAAGGAAACTGCAGGCTCTATGTTTGTACATGTTAGTTGCATATGTAATAATTTACACTAGATGTTACAAGTAAAAGTGATATTCAGTAAATTGCCATTGTACATATAATTAACTATTATTATTATTATTATTCTGATGTGTAATTTATCCCTATGCATTTAATTATGAGAACTAATGATTAGGTTTATTTTTTATCTCTTTATACAAAAAAATCATTATAAATGATTTTTAACACATTTATCATACTATAATTACAAAAAAGATGATCTGAAATGTTTAACCACAATGTGAAACCTATTGTTTCAATGATAATAATAATAATAATAATAATAATAATAGTAACGTTACTTATCTACAATATGTTTATAAATATACTTAGATATGATATTTTACTCATTCTGTATCAGTATATTGTATTTTATGAAACTGTTTCGGTGAGACTTTAATTTATAGACGATCTTTGAGCGACCCTAAAGTGGCCTTGAGAATGTTTACCTACCGACCAGGGCTACATGAGAGCTTTAAACCTATGGTAAGGTTAAGGATTGTGATTTACAGTTGATAGTTAAGCAAAGGGATTAGATTTAGGGTTTTCATCATGAACTGACATCAGTTAAAATGCCAAAGCGATATTTAATCAAATGGATAAAGAATTTCGCACTGAAATCCAAGACCTGTTATTATAAATCTGATTGGCTCGTCCACAAATTATAATCTCGTCACTGTTTTTATTAGTGTTTTCTTTGAAAATTACAAGTGAAGTTCAAAGTTTATATATGACAGTATGAAGGGAGAAATATTTCTTAATCTTAGTTTTGTGACCAATGTTATTCAATTAAAAACGTTCATCTGTGATATTATAAAGGGAATTATGTGAATCAAACATCTAAGATATGTTGGACGAAGGTGTTTTTTATTACGTAATTTTGATTTCGGTATATCAAGAAAAGCGATTCATATATATATATATATATATATATATATATATATATATATATATATCGATTATTAGAAGTAAAAAGACATTCATAGTCCACTAAACCTTTCTTTTATCAACGATTTACACTATTCATATGCTTCAAATATATGTTAAGTTATTCTTGGAACGGTATTTTCTACTATTTATCGTTTGATTAAATCAGTCAGTCAGCTACAACGTAGGACCAGGAACATATATCTATCGGTCCAAGTTGCCACACCTCATTAGCACAACAAAGTGAACACTAAGATTCATAGAAGTAGTTACTTCAGTGGTAGTAATATATAAGCGAAAAATTGCATACAAGTATGCAATACAGACAGAGAGTAATGTTAATCTCACGGTTTAAGGGAAGACAAAGAGTGTATACACGTACACCATTGTGATCGATTCTGAGCCATTTCTTAACATATTAATTACATGTAATTCTGATTTGTTGAGAAAATTTTAGGTATGAATTCAGAATACGCATACTGTAAAAGGGTTCTACAGATATAAACTTTAGAATAGGTCTATCATTAAGTTAACAAAACCTATGGTGCACAAACAAAGTTAAGTCATGCATCAATATTCGACATTGTTTATCTAAAATATCAGTATGAAGTTCTGGAGATTCTTAAGATTTTGATTAGGATTATGAATCGATTGGTGCTTGACCACCAGTAGTTTAGAAATTAGGGGGTTCATGCGTGAGACCGACAGCCCTAGGTTCCTGCGAGCGAGATCGTGGATACGCGCTGCTGAGGAGTCTCATACTAAAGCGAAACGGTCGTCCAGCATTTATCTAAAACATATGAATATTCTTTCTTTTTGATGTTTCGAGTTTAGGATCATAAAAGAATGTGAAAAACTAAAACTATTAGTGAGATTGAAATTATTTTATCAAACAGAAGACAATATTATTAGAAAATCATCAATCTTGCAATGTAATTGTTCGTATTTTAGTATCTGCTATTGTACATAATATTAGATTGATAGTCATTAAGATTTTCTGTAACAAACTGTTGCTATTTACCGTCACATTAAAAGCAAATTATATAAGTCAATCAGTTGCTTATATTTTACTTGGATGAGAATGTAGCTGAAATTCGTTTTTTTCTACTGTGGTAACTTACACCTCACAAAATATTTCCATGCACAAAATAAATAATTCTACTAGCTAGTTTGATAGGATTACACTAATTATGGTTCTAGCTTTCAATCTTGTTATTAGAATATTATAATAATACATTAATTGAGCCAAGCAGTCTCAAAACTCAAACCCATGGAAGCACACTGAACTGTCAGCAAATTAGCAGTTATTAATTAAATTCCGAAGAACATTTCGAAATCTTTCAGTGTTTGCGAAGTTCACTGAGTGTATTTGTAGTGGTTTGGCTTCGAAATAATTATTTAGACTCCATTTATCAATCACCATGATAACCATTATCAAATAAATAATAAAGATGTTTGTATTCAGAAGACAACATAACGCGCCGACTACAGATCATTATTGGATTGAATAGACTACAAAACCACAAGAACATCAACCGAATCCGAGCACAAAAATTAATGAGCACAAGCAAGCGAATTAGGATTCGATAAGGGATGGAACGATGAGTCGAGTCAATTAGGAGGATTCAAGCGGATATTCATATGGGAAAACCAATAATTCATCGAGCGATTTAAGCAACTAATATTAAAGATAGAGAGAAGGATATGTGAGTAGACTGCCATATGTGATCAAGCGTATATGTTCATGTAGACATGGTAATTATATTAATAATACAAAGATATCGACAGACTGTTAATGTTTGAATAACATTATCTGCCAAATAATTTAATTGAAGAGTTTAACAAAATTATCCCTAAACAAATTTAAATGTAGGGTATGTGTTATATGATATAACTTCATAGTCATTATCTCCGAATTGTCATAGTCAAATAACCCCAGAAAACTAGGAAACAGTGGATAGCTGTTTCATCATAGAGTGAAACTTGGTACAGTTCATCCATAATCCCAATAACAGGGATCTAAACCAGGACCTTCGGTCATGGACATGAATGACTAACTTCTAGACTACTGATACGACATCCACTGGTTTCCATTTTGAACTTCAATCGACTCTTAATGTTACTCAATCATCCTTCAGTGTATATGGAAGGTGAAAGCCTTTCATTCTACATGGTTGGACTCAGCTGGTCACGGCCACTTACTATGGCTCCGGAATTACCTCTTGAAGTTAGTCACTAGCAAGCACATGATTCATTATTACAGGGTTTACTACAAACTCTTATGACTATTATGATTTTGTCCTAACTAGACACCATTTTTTTTCTAATAGATCATTAATCAACTATTATTTTCCAGTTAACTAAGCTTTGATTAGAAGATTTATAGTGTATAGTGTCAGTTTAAATTTCGTTCGTGATTAGCCATAAATATAACTATTTTAACGGAATTAAGATTAACTTTCACTAATAATCTACATTTTGTTTCTTTGATAATGTAATAAAATAATATTAACAATAATGTATGTACTATTGGTTTTTACAGTTGATTGATCATTAAGTAGTGAACAATCTCATATATGTTAAGTCCTTCTGAGTGCTGATGAAATTCCTCCAATCAAGTAGCATTTTGGTTGCTTGTCTAAGTTACTCGGCACTACATGCACCATAATGAGATAAAAAGGTGAAGGTTGGAGACAATCTATAGAAATCCATAGACCTAGGTTTCGTGCTATTTGTCACTCGTTATCATGATATATCCTCAAGATTACAGGCACACCATGACGATGAGTGGCAAATAGCATGAAACATAGGTTCACGGTTTCCTGTCAATTACATCCAACAACCACCTTACATACTATTAATTTACTTTACTCTCTGCTCCGTAATCTCCCCAAAGAAGTATGAATTTCGATATTCATAACATAATCGATTATTTTATTTCATAAATATCACCTCTTTGATCACTTTTTGCCGGCTGAATTATTATGAGAATATGATTAGTAATGTTAATGTCTTGATGAATAACTGCATACTTAGTCATTCGACCAGTAATATGTCTTTCAGAATTTAGGTTGTAAACGTTTTGAAATCAGTCTCGTGGGCTAATTCTTGCTTTAATTACCTAATCCATTCTATTAACTTTATAAAGCAACTGACCCTATATAATATCACCATACCTAACTTCATCTGCGTATACATGTAATTTGCAACTACTATGTTCCAATCAGAATGCCATCATTAAAGTATTACAACAAACGTACAGGCAAACTTACATACCTCAAAACGTTTCAGAATGTCTGGAATCAATATTTTCCTTCTTATTTGTGAAAATAAAAACACCGTTTGACTGTTCACTAATTGATGTTCAGTTTAAATAGTTGGAATAAATTTTATACCATTAATACTCAGTACTGTTCATTGAATGGGTTTACAGTAATCTCTCTTTTTGTTTGGACATTTTTGTGGAAACAGTGAGCTATTTTAAGTCTGACTCAAGTCTTCGTTTTTCATACGATACTCTCATCATGTTAACGACAATAAGTATTTGACGAACTGATTACTTATTTCATTAATTCTTCAGCTATCCCTTAATAATTAGTGATTCAGATAAGAGATTTTTAAACATTGTTCTTATTACGATTACAGTACCTAATCAACTAAAAGCAATCAGAATATACAGATCAACTTGTCTATTGATCATTACTTAATTAGATAACTAATTAATTTACGATTACTTAGAGAATGCCTATAAATGATGTTTGCAAATTGACGCCTAATTTTTCTAGTAGATTATTTATAGTCACATGGTAATTAATATTGTATGCAATACTGTACATATTATCGGATTGAAAAAAGAACTCTTAAAAACATCCTGGGTTATAAATATAATGTAAGCAGAGACACAGCGTATCCAAGGTTTTAAATATAATGAATTAACATTTGTTTCAGTTTAAACTCAAGAAACAAACAAGAATCTCAATAAAAGGATCATAAAATGAGATACTGTAAATACAAAAAGCAAGATAACAGACTTACACCACCAGTATTCTCCATTCAACTCTATCCTAGGCAATTCTTTCCAGTTGTTTCCGGTTTCTATTCATCTTTTTCATGTCTGATTTCAATTACCTACGCAGTGTGTTCTTTAGTCTTCCATTTTTTCGTTTCCTTTTAGGATTCTAAGTCAGCGCTTGGCCCGTATACAGGTTGATGATATCCCCAATGTATGTCCTAGCCACCTCTATCTTCTTTTCCTGATTTCCTCTTCAGTTGGAAACTTGTTTGTTTATTCACATAAAAGGCTGTTGCTCGTGGTATCCGGCCAAAGGACGTTCAGTATCTTACGTAGACAATTG